TTCTTCAATTTTCCTCATCAATACAGTGGAAAACAATGGTCAATTTGGCCCATTAACTATAGGAAAATTGAATGAACATTCTGAACATTTCTGTTTTCACATGAAATCCTACTGTTGTATAGTCAGCTTTAGGAATGATCTTTCAGAAACAGGTGTATGATGCATGATGGGAAAATCTTTCAGTGGCAAAGTTCTCACTTGCACAGCATTCATGCTTTGTGTCAGCAGATCTTCTGTGCACACAATCATGCTAAAAGTTATCACAGAACGTCCATACTACAATAATGCACTGTCAACCTAACATGTGTGGTGGTAAGCTGTATTTAAAGCATATTATGCCTTTGTCTGTAGGAGACAGTTCTTTGAAGTACATGAAAGTATTCCATCTTAATGACTTTACTTTAGGCTAAAAATATGTAAATAAACATCATGCAAACTGTATCTTCACAGGACTGAGATTGAGCTGTGCAGTCAGATTTTGCAGCAGTTGTTTTCTTATTCTGAGTCACAATCCTGTCCTGTTTATGTCCTTTTTTCTCTTTCTGTCAGTTGACCATGTCAGCCGCGCCTATGCTTATCAGACAACATTTTCCTGGAAACTGTATATGCCGTCACAACCTTTGATACTGTACCTTGCAACATGACAACGTCAGTCACAGAGGCACCAGCTAAGCAGGCACCAACAATTTGCCCTCTTGGAAGCTCAGTAAGCTCTGACATGACTCCGTATTACTAACAGCGCATGCAGTGAATGACTAAAGTGAAGCTTTCCACCTGTTAGCTAGGTGTCTCATCACACAGCGGAAGCAAAAGAATGTTATGTTGCTTTCAACACAAAAGATATCATCACTTTCACTCCTGCAAATCATGTAGTGTTTCCAATTTTGTCCAACCCCTGTACCTTCTGCATTAAAAATCCTGCCTGTTCGTCCATTTCTATTTATTACCTAAAGTTCCACTTTAAAGGACCATTCTAGCCAATAATGATGTTTTAGCTATAGGTGTGCACCCACTGTTCTTTTCGATCTCTTGGAAACTTCAGCAGGAAAGGCAAGCCTGCCATGGTCCTTGCTCTTGTTCCATCCACGTTGAAACACACCCACCACAGGGAGTTTCCACTCTATGCATTGCATACCTCATAGTAAAAATTACATTAACAAAAAAAATTAAAGTAAGGGCGGTGGAACATCCTCATAATGGTCCTGAGAACCCAAACAAAGACATCTTACCACTAAAGTCCCTGGAGACATAAGAAACCATGGTGTCACTCTCCAGTATCTACAAAAAATGAAATGTCTGCCTTGGGTAGAATGACTCTTAAGGGGGTCATAACAACAAAATGTGAGATCTAAGGCAAATGTGTTATTTGGTAATTAGATGAGTATTTTTTACAATGCAGGATGCTAATGCCTAGTTCAGTTTGTAAATCATTTGTAGAAACTATATCAGTTGGCAACTCAGGATTGCAGGTGTAGGGGTTGTGTTCATGTAAAAAAAAACTGTTGGAAATCCTTGCTTACAGACTGCCTTACAGGCTTCATTATGGCTGCCTTATCTGTGCTAATCATGTGCTTGATTCTGTAAAGAGGTTGATAGCTAAATCTCCCTCAGTGTGAATGTATGTTTGATTTTAAAATGCTGGACTGTGATTTTTGGGGCAGAGACTGGTGCGTATGTTTTTGTATACTAATATAACAAGCTGGCCTTTATATAAGGATAAACTCCTATGCAGTCACCAGTCAACTGGAACCCTTAGAGAGCTAAATGTTGGTGTTTAACAGTTACACTCCTATGTAAAAACCGGCTCACGTCGAGAGCAAAACTTCCTGTTTCAGTGCTGTCAACCTTATCTACACAGAAAAGCAGAAAAGGGAATTGAAAATATTTTCTTCATGAAAGATTTGCATGTACAAAATATGGTTAAAAACAAGGGGCTTGACGAGATTGTTCAAAGATTGTTCAAAGATTTCCTACAGGCATGTAAAGTTCTTGAAACATGTATCAAGTAGCTGTTTAAGACATCACCACAAGTCTTAGGACCCCCCAGGCTGTAAGCAATTTCAGCATATAGAACTTGGATTTTATTAAAAGTTTTAAAAGTATAGTGTAGTAAGTCTTTATTTATGTAGCACCCTACAATTCACAAAAGTAGTATTTGTAAAATAGGCAACACTTTCTACTAGTTTGGTTTGCAGGGGCAGATAATGGACAGCACAAACTTTGAGTACCCCAGCACTTTTGCTGCTTTGAAATTGTAAAGCAGTAGCTAAATTCTAGTACTATTCTGACTGATCTGATTTAACTGACTTTATTTTTAGCTTAGGAAAATGCAATTCATGTCAAAATTTATTATTTTTTTTGAGCTGTGACAAGATGGGGGTTTTGTAGCTCCATGGTAGTGCAAAACAGTACCGGAAGTACATTTCAGGGCTTTCCTGCCTACGTTTATTTAAAAGAAAGCAAATGTTCTCATCAAGCAGATTCCCACGCAGTGGTTTCCACCATCAAATGAACATAAACTGTAAACTGCTGCTCAGCCCTCATGCCATGGTCCTCCAAACCATCTAACACACAGTCCCAGTGCCCGTGTAACAAAACACTGTACCTTTGTCAGCTCGACTTTGTCTTTCCTACAGCTCTCCGCTGTTCCTACCTCTCTGCTCCCTTACAATTACAGACCCCCTCGGGAGAGTGGGGCCCTGTACTCTAATCATGCCTCTAATATGAAGCCAGCCCACACCTGCATCATTAGTGTGCCTGTTTTCTCCAAAACCTGGCCTAAACTGCCTTATAACATAGTGGCATGGCCTCGCTCTGCCACAGAGCTTTAGTACACAAGAAGTGATGCTATAATGCCCATTAGATCCCAACTCCAGTTTTTTCTTTTTTGAATTTTGGTTGAATTTTGGTTGAGTATGATAGGAATAAAACTTCTTTTTAATGACACTGCAGACATTCGCCCTTACTTCATGTCCCTCCCTAAAGCACAGAATGTCACTGGGACAGGAAGTGAATTCACTATGGCACCATGACATGGATTCTAACTCTTCCCCACTAATCTAGTAATATATACTTTTTATTGATATTTATTTGTGTATTCAATAAAGAGACTTCCTTGTAATTGCTATCTTGACACTATTTATAAAAAAAGGATGAAGAATATACATTTTTATAGACATTACTCTCCCTAGCCACTTTCCACTATCTCATTCCTAGCTCCTCCTCTCTTAAAATCTCAAATCACATTTTTAATTTTTTTTTGATCAATTTTTGGGGGGGGAATTATCCCTACAATCCCTAGGTTCTTACATAGGTAAGAATGATGTGTCACTTGGGATACCCATGTGAAGCACCCCAGGAGGATGCAGGGAATGCTACTGCGCATGCACCTTGGCGTACCATCGTGGGGGCTGGTTGTCTCTTCCTGGTACTTGCAGCTGACCCTGTTTAATTTCTGTACTGTTCAATACTGTATTTCCAATAAAAAATAATTATGTAATATTTTATTGGTTGGATAATGTATATATTAGGGGGCAAACCCTGTGTATATACAGCATACTGATGGTAGATAAGATGATCATTACCCTTTACTGCTGATTTCAAACAGACTGGATAACATAGAATATGTCCAAACTAGGCATCCCTGGTTGTCCAGGTTAGGGGACATACAGACAATTTTTCTTCATGTTAACACTTTGAATCTTTAACGAGAACTGACAGAATTTTAATTTTATTGACCATTCATATGCACACCTACAATAAAAAAGGAACTGCAGAATGAAAGTTGGAATTACTGTGAATCAGTGCTGAGGAATATTATTTAGGAAAACCATAACACCCCGTAGTGATGCCCAGTTGACCTGCATTATCTGCCTCTATTCCAGTTCAGTGGGGGTCCTCAGTATGGAAAATTTAATGGAAAAGTTACATGCATTAATGTACATTATATGCAAAAAATCTGGTGTGAATATAGTCTTGTTATTTTAGCATACTGCTAACATTTTATACATGCCTAATCAATTTTAATGATGTCCAGAAATGTTTAGAACTATACCTATATATCAATATTTGGGTGTTGTAAATGTAATGTGAATTTCATATCTTATTCATCATAAAATAATAACATTACATTTTTATAAGTTGTCCCAGTCTCTGTCACTTTTTAGATAGCTTGGTCTGCATGTAAAGAAACTCTAAATATAGAAGAACAGAATGTTTTTCTAAGTACTACATACTGTACAGTTAACAAAATGGAATATTTTTCTTGATACTGTTCATTTAAAGTGTTACTAAACCCAGAATGCTGCATTCACTATATCTGGTCCCCCACAGTACACAGAACATGGAAGTGCATTTATTTTAGTAAATATAAACTGCTAAATACTTTTTCTCATCAACAGTATATAGCAGTCTTGTGACTTCTGTCAGTGTCCAGCAGAGCTCTGGTTACAGCTTGTAGGAGGAGTTTTCATTCGTCTCAGACTGTCCTATGAGGCTGCATGACCCTTGACCCTTTGTCTGGACAGTGCTGATCGTCGCAGTGCTGATCACATGCACCCTCCTAAAGAAAAAAAAAAAAAAACTCTTTAACAATATACACTAAACAGAGCATGTGCACAGTGACTCCTATAGCTCTGTACTATCAGCAGATGGATTGGGCATAGTAGAAGAAGAAGGGGAGGATCAGAGAAGACAGGATCAAACCGCCCTTTTTACACAATGAGGAGGATTAACCCCTTAGGTTCCACCATGAGTATAACAAGCATGCTCTACTGCATAAACAAAAATGATACAAAGCTGTTTTTGTATCTTCAATAAAAGTTCTTGAGCCTTGCATAAACCAAGGTGTTTAGAATGAGTTAGAATACTGAACTTCATTCCATTCTACCTAAATATGGGCATTAATAGAGATAAAAATGTACTGTTTGCTATAGTATTTATAACCGGTCTAGAAAAAAAACAATTAATTTTGTATCTGTTTTTGTGCTCATACAGAAAATATGGGACGCATCCATTCAAAAACGAAAAAACGAAGTTCTGCATTTAAGAACGACGGTTTGAAGCAAAATCCCGTACGTAACCCTGAACGAACTATTTATGTACCAGATCCAACGGCCAATAAGCAGCAAAGGCCAGTAAGTAGATAGCCAAGGGAAGAAAACATACCTCAGCATGGCTTGCTCCTCACCTTCTCTTTTTTTCCCTTATATCAATCCAATCTCTTCCTGAGGTAATACAAATCCATCAGCCTCTAGCTCTGCAGCTGTTTTTGTACTTGCATTCAAAAGCTGTAAGTTCAACAACACCTGAAGAGTCATTCTCTGGCCTACAGTAGCTACCTCCAGTGAGCTTATGACTGAGTCACAATATGTCAAACATTTTCAAATTGTAATTTTTTGTCTTGGTCCAGGGAGAAACAAATGCAAAACTAATAAAAGCGTATACATCTGATATCGTTCGAGTTTAACACGACCCCTGATCCAGTGGTTTAGGGTGCCAGTGGATGGGGCAATTGAAGTCTAAGCAGCTTGATCTATGTGTTAGTGCCAGTATTTTTGTCCAAATCTCAAAGATAATTTAAAATGTCACTTGGGTTTGATGCTGCCACATTCATGGAAATGTGTGATTGAAATTTAGCCAACAAAAAATGTTTTTTCCATAAAATCCATCATTGTCAGCTTTTTATGAATCTACCAGTATACAATACTGATCAGATTATGAAGCAAAGGGCAAAAATGTGTTTGAAGCAGCACTCTTAGGTTCTCAACATACCTTGTGGTGATCCACCAGACTCCTACTTGCAGGGATACAGGGGAAAAGTACTAAGATGCAGAATCTACAGCAAGGCACCAATTGCTCAATATCTACACTGCTCTAAAAAATTAAAGGCACACTTTTTAACTGCCTCCCGCCCGCCATATAGTAATATGATGGCTCTCTCGTTCTGGGAGGACATCATATGATGTCCTCCCATTCTAACTGCGCATGCGCGGCTCCTGGAGCATGCAGCACGGCGATCGGCGGTGCACAGTGTCCCTCGGACACAGTGCACCACCAATCGCCGCGCTGCGTGCTCCAGGCACCCTGACTGCCATTAGATATTGGGATGAAATCCTTGGACCCATTGTCAGACCCTATGCTGGTGCAGTGGGTCTTGGGTTCCTCCTGGTACACAACGATGCCCGGCTTCATGTGGCGAGAGTATGCAGGCAGTTCACAGAGGATGAAGGAATTGATACCATTGAATGGCTCCCATGCACCCAGGGGGGGCCTTTAAATTAAGTCCTCTGTAGGTTGATAATTTTAATTTCTATCAAGTGATGGGGAATCCTTACGTTCCTAACACGTTACCCAATCCATATCAGTATAGATATCCAGCATGAGATTTTTCCCCATTGAGATCTGATGTGTTTTCATAGTGTTCCTTTAATTTTTTTTTGAGCAGTGTATACTAACAAAAGTGTCTGCAGTGATGATTGGTTAGGGATTAGTTTTAGAGCCACACATATTGCTGGAAATGGGGAAAAGGGTTTCTGTATTAGCTGACACCGAGTAGAGCCTGTTTATACTGTATTTCTAAGCCAATCTTGTAAGTCTAAACAGCATAATTAGATGTCAGAGTCAGTACTTGTTTGATGACTTTTATTCCATAATCCCATACTGGAAAGCCCTAAAAATATCTTTAATCATTTGTCCATTCATTGACTGTATTAAAGAGCAAAGTAAGCAATAGGTCATTTCGCTCAGACATTTTTTTTTTATATTAAGGGTTCTGCTCCTTGCTGATAATACGGATAATTCAGTTTCACTAAATAAAAAAGCTTATGTAAAGTGGTTTAGTTATAGTTGAAGGGTTTCATCTAAGATAAAGATAATGACTTATGTCATGAAATCCTCCTATATGTCACAAATATGTGATGACATCAGCAGTCATTTATATAAGTAACTCCTTTTGTGCAGTTTAAAATCCCCTATTACCTTTTATACTACTATCCCAAGAAAATGAAATATTAGTTTGTGGTTGAAGTTTGAAGTTTAATGCTGTTTTTATTGTGGAAGTGTTGGTGCCAGAGATGTTGGCATTCAATTTTTTTTCAATGAGCATGCAGTCATTCGCGAGGTTCAAAAACCGTACAATACGTTATAGAACATGATAAACAGCATCTCTGTGTGCATAAATGTCAGGTAACAGGCTGAAGTGGTAATTATTACAAGATACAAAAGATAGAAAACAAGTCTTGAAACACCAATTGGTTCGGAAGACAACATACATAATTAAAGTTGGTCAACCTCTCTGGCTGTACTCCTCTGTTGGTTTCAACCACGTAGGAAAAGTTAAGGCAGGGAGCGGAGGTTTGAAGGGGAATAGGAGGAATGCAGCACCTATCACACCTCAAAAAGTAATAGTCAAAAGCTAAAGCTTTGGTGCCTATTTACAATCCATCAAATTATTAGTGCCAAAAAAGCTTGTGCCAAAAGTTTTATGTTAAAGTATAGTGAAAGCCCACTATCTCATGTGTATGTGTTACAGCCCGTTAGGTTTTTGTAGCTGTCTTTGGCTCCACTTAGGAGATGCACCCTCGCTGTTGTCACCAGGACAGAAGGTGACAGGAGATCCAAAATTTACAGTTGTCACTGGAAAGGGAATAGAAAGGCAAACTTGGAATGGGGACAACTACTCCCATGACGGCTATCTATCTCTTCACATTGGAGAAATTCCCGTTCACTTTCTGTTGTGTCTCTGAAACAGGAAATGAAGGGAAATCTACCCAATGAAACAGAGATAGCAAACAGGAGGGATTCCCCCATCAACACAGTTAGTTGAAAATTGCATCATCTATGGCTTGTCTTAGACACCTTGTCTAATCACAAAAAGGCATATAGTTTTAGGAGTTGTATAGTATTATTGGCAATGTCAGCTGTGTCTTTTCTTGTACTATCCTTGTGATTACCATCCTTTTGAGTGCTAAAGAAGGAAAGAGATGGCCATACTTTGTAACAGAGACTTGCTAAGCTCTAAGCATATAAGGTTACATTTTGCTAGTAAGAATGTACATTTTCTTTTGAGAATAATTCCAAAACAGACATTAACAGTAAAAAACAGAATTTGCAGCTTAGCTCAGTGTTTAGTGTTCCTCTTTAGTAAACTTCAATTAAACGCTTCATAAGACAAGAAAAACAGACCATGTATATAAGAAAGTGGGTGTGGTTCCTGGGCTATATTGTGCTGTTATAGTCTATGCAGAGAGTGTGGTTTAACTGTAGAGTTTTGACACATGCTTCTAATATTAAAGGCTGGAAGTGTGATCACTAGGGTTTGACTTGTTTTTTATACATTCTTTTTTCAGTTTTTGGGTTTTTGAATCAGACATACAAGCAAAACCACATGACCACTGTGTCATAGATGACATGATGATCACATGGCTAGAAACTAATCTGATTGCTTACCAATGGCTATACTGTTTGGGCAGTCATCAGTGATGCTGAACATTTGCCTGTACAAGGCATCCAAAGGAATGTTAATCTACATATTACAGATGCCACAGGGTTAACCATGAAGACTATACACAAATTAAACATTTTGATGAACCAACATCAGAGCTTGGGCAGTCCCATGTTGTCTATATGATAAAGGCCGTCCCATAGGTTCTTTGCGTATATTTTTATGTGCTTGAAGACCAGTTGCCGTAATGTTTTATTAGAAGTATTAAGGGTAAGGAAAAAGTGAGAAGCAAGAGCTCAAAGCTGTAATAAAGTATCTAAATAAAAGACAAAAAAAATCATGAAAATATTGAAGCAACACTAAGGAAAGACACTCTTTAATATAGTAAATAATAAACAGTCAGTGGAACTCAAGCATGGGAGATAGGGTGTAGAAGAAGAATCCCCCTTTACAACATTCAATTAATTCTCTGCAACACATGCACATTTTCCTGTGATTAATTTATTTCTATGCTGCACTGAAATCCCACCAAGGTTGTCAGCCCTGCCAAATTGCAGAACACCTCACTCTCTCCACAACATAAGGGGGAGGAGTTCTGTAGTCCAGCAGGATAGACCTAGGTCGGGCTGATGCACTGCTTTAAATTCAGTGCAGCAGGGACAGAGTTGTCAGATGCAATAAAGAAAAGTACTGCATGTGTTTGTCTGGTGTTCTTCTGCAGACATGCACTTTTAATAAATGTGTTCCCCTCGAGAAAATGTGGACTTGTATGGCCATTGCCATCAGTTAAATCCTTAAAATCCATATTTTCTATTTTAAAAAAAAACACTGCCTTTGCAAAAAATATTTTTAGCGTATGTGAAGCATTTCCCAGCACAAAAGAGGAACATTTTTTTTGTCTCACAGAGGAAGTATGTACAGTATATTTTCCATTTGCTTTGCAATTATGTATTACAAAAGTATGATGTCTTCTTGAAAACCTAATGCTTCTTACCAGAGGCAAAATACCCTTAAAACTTTTTCACCTAAAGCTATGTGTACACAAACTTAGATATTTTATTAGAAAGGAGGGATTTTATGTGAAATGGTTTCATCTCCTCCCAACCAGCATTCACATAAAGTTGGCAGCATCAGACCATTAGCTGTCAATACATATCCCAAACCTGTGCAGGGACTACCACGTCTAAAAGGTTTGATACTGCAGTGCGCATTCATTATAGCAGAGTGCAAATCAGAGGACATGCAAATGTTGATGTGTAGAGGTGCATTAGGAACCCATGTGTTATGAAGGGACACATGCAGAAACACAGGAACATCAACGTTTGTCAATGCATCAAGAAACTCATTACAATGTGTACTGTAACACAAGTGTGAATGGGCACTTAGAGTTACTGGTAGGTGAGCTGAAAAATCAAGACCTCCATGAGGAAACTAATCGTAGATGGTATACAAGAGACAAATTGGGGCACCTAGTCTTAGGCACCATTTTTCATTTTCGCTTCAAGGATGTTTTGGGTTAACAAAAAAAACAAACAAACATGCTCATCTGTCCAACATCGGCTCTAAACCCGAGAACTGAGTGATTACATGACTACTGATCACTCAGTTCTTGGTCTCCTGGAGCAGAGAATGGTGACTGTCAGCTGCTTTTTTCCACCTGCTCTCACTGGAGCACTGGGCTGATGAGTTGGTGAGCACAGCTGACTGTGGCTCTCTGAGGTGGAGCCAGCTTTCAGTCAGGCTGCTGGGTAGATCCTGACAATAAGGGTGGGATTCTTCCAGAACCTGGAGCAGCTCTGCCACATCAGCTGATAGCGGGAAATAGCCTGCTATCAGCTGATTCAGGGTCATAGAAGAGCAAATGTAAGCACAGTACTGTGACCCACAGGAGAAGTATGGCCAAAAAGCTTTGGTCATACTTCTCTTTTAAAGAACAACTCTACTTTTGTCTAAGTTGTTTTTTAAGATAATGATCTCACCCCTCAAGTGCAGTCCACCTGGTCCTATACTTCCCTCTGGCTATGATCCAATGGATTTCAGTGTGTGGCCCTGTCCGGAGACTTACAACCTTGTGGGCTACATTGGGTACTGCTCCTCAGAGTAATGAAGGGGGGCTGAGGTGCACATGCACAGTATAAGGCCCCTTTCACATGGTGCGGACTGCGGTTGCAATCCACTTGCTCAGCAGGGGGGTAGGTCAGCTGAACTCCGCTGAGCAGGCAGATGACAGGTCTGTGCATAGCACACATGGACGCAGACCACTCTCCTCTATGGGCAGTCGGATGTAAATGGACCCGCCTATCTGTGTTCATCTGATCCCTCAAAAAGAGAAGGATAGGGATCCCCTTCTGTCCAGTATTTTGGATTGGATGGCAGTTGGGTGTAAACAGACAGGCCGTTGTTTACATCTGACCCCCATAGAGGTCTGTGCACATGTCGGAGCGGAGCAGACACGGACCTGTCATCCACCTGCTCAGCAGGGATCAGTGGAGACAGATCCGGACCTGTCATCCACCTGCTCAGGAGGGATCAGTGGACAGATCCCCTGCTAAGCAAGCTGATCGCAAATGCAGTCCACCCCGTGTGAAAGGGGCCTAAAGAGGGCCAGGTACGGGCACTTACTAAACAAAAGTCTGTTTGATTCAGAGCAGTGCCATACAGTGACATTCACTGAAATGAGGACAGAGGTATTGGACTGGGTAGGCTGCACTTAGCAAGAAGGGACCAAAGGTACAGTTGATCCTTAAGTCCCTGGTTACACCAAAGCTGATTTTTAAATCATGAGACTTACAGTGAAGTTGCATAATTTCAAAATTGGGTGACCTGCTGATTTCAGTTGCGATTTGCAAGACATCTGAAACAGATGTCTATGAAAATCACAACAAAAGTAGTGCATGCACTACTTTAGAAATCAGTGCAACTCTGACCAAGTCAGAACCACACCAATAGGACCGCTCTAATAAAGGACAATAGGGTGTGACTTGGCATACGATTTGCAAGTCACAGGGCATGCAAATCGCATGCCAAGTTGCACCCGATGTGACCGGAGAGTAAACCCAATTCCAACTTTTTGGCAAATGTAATATTGTAAGTTGAGTCTGCAGTATATTTAACTTTATCTATGGTAAGCATTACCAGTATTTAAATTTTGTTTGTAGGGAGATAACTGCTTTTTTACAATGCATCTGTCTCTATTGGTCTCACAGAGATACTGCGTGGATTTTCTTTAAATCCTAGGGTATTTTTTTGTTGTTATACTGTATATATATGCCTTTTGTGTGAGAAGCTGCATAAAGATAAATTAGCAACTACATTTTCTCAGGTAATTCTACACTGGTGACCAAGGCAAAAAAAAAAAAAACTGTCAAAGTACTATATGTCTTTGAAAACACATTGATGAAGCAATGAGATGATTATAGGAAATAGGTTAAGTCATTAAAATTATATACATTGGTCTGAATAAACAATTGATTTGGATATCTGGAACTAAATTTTATTAAAATAATTTTTATCATGAAGTTCTGATATCCTTGTCATAAATTTATAGTTACTATTAGAAAAGAGAGTGAAACTGTTATTTGATCATGTCATGGCTCACTTAGGTACCATTACTATCAGTAATTTACTTCTCCCAAATCACGTCTTTTAATTTGTTCAATCCCAATAACCTTAATGCATGTTATTATTTCCGTTTGTATTTGCATGCATGTCATTATGGTAGTTACTTCATAATTACTGTATTGTATATTATGTGTTTTTAAAATGTATGCAATTTAGCCTTTATTAAAGAGCAGAAGGCAAAATGCAGTGACAAATAATAAAATTTTTACTGATCCACTAAATTGAATAAAATTGATTTTCTTAGTGTATGCCCATCATTTCCCTTTGCTTTCTTTTGGTAAAGTAAACCTGGCTATACTTAGACTGAGCATAGGTTTAGAAAAAATTAAATGATTAACACATTTACTGTCAGAAAAAAACACATTTCACACTATTATTAGATCCCTTAGCTATTTATTTAGAGTAGCTGTATCTCTAGAAAGTGCTTTTTACTTATGAAATCATCTTTGTATATTTATTTTCAGTTTGAACTGACCAGGCGTGCAACAGATTTTTTTTTTTTTATTAACAAATCACCTGCACTGTTATATTTTGTAATGCCAAGAAGACTTAAGAGGTTCCGCCTAAAATGTGTCTAGAAGTGAATGGACAGTATGACTCCCTTGATTGGCTTTCTTAAAGCAGTATTAAACTCAAAATCAAACATTTATTATATTGCAGCTTACTGATTCTTAGATGTGATGGCTGCATTATGTTTCTTTTTTAGGCTTTCTTTCCTTTTTACCTTGCAATCTGGCCAGTAAATCTGTAGTTTTTCAATAGAAAAAGCTATCCTGCATATGTAGCAGTTACAGGAAAAAGACAAACCATTCAACAATGGCAAAGGTGCTTACAATGATCAGGGTTTTTTTAATGTAACACCTGTATTCCAAAAGAAAAAAAACAGTTTGCTGTAACTGCTTATAAATTGTTAGCTGGAGTTTGGCTTTAATTTGTTATATTTAAATCTGTTAGTACATCTAACACCCCTCCCCCCAGACTGACAATGCTGCTGTCCAAATGTGCCCCCTGTGCTCCTTCATCCAGAGAGTTGTAATATTTGTTTATCAGAGCAGGGGCAGACTGACCATTTGGAAACTCTGGCACTGCCCGAGGGCCCGGGGTCAGTAGGGGGCCCCCATGAGATGCCCCTGGTACCTTTATCATAGGCTTTTTTGAGTTTGGGCAAGGACACAAGGGCCCCATGATCCCCTATTGCCCGGGGGACCTATGAGTTGTCAGTATGCCCCTGGGTCAGAGACATTCACACCAGTGGCCTGTTGGAGGTCATTTTGTAAGGTTTTGAAACTCATCCTGTTCCACATTACACAAAGGAGCAGATACCGGTCCTGCTGATGGGTTATGAACCTTCTACGGTCCTGTCCAGCTGTCCTAGAGTAACTGCCTGTCTCCTGGAATCTCCTCCATGCTCTTGAGACTGTGCTGGGAGAAACAGCAGATGTTCTGGCAATGGCATGTATTAATGTGCCATGCTGGAGGAGTTGGACTGCCTGTGCAACCTCTGTTGGGTCCAGGTATGTCCTCACGCTTCCAGTAGTTACACTGACTCTAACCAAATACAAAACTAGTGAAAAACAGTTGGAAAAGATGAATAGGGAAAAAAATGTCAGAGGCCTCCACCTGTAAAAACCATTCCTGTTTTGTGGATCGTCTCGATGTTGCCCGTCTAGTGCACCTGTTGTTAATTTAATCAACACCAAAGCAGCTGAAACTGATTAACAACCCTCTCTGCTGCTTAACTGACCAGATCAATATCCCAGGAGTTTAATTGACTTGATGCTATACTCTGATTAAAAAGTGTTCCTTTCATTTTTTTGAGCAGTGTAGTATCTTCCAAAGGCGAGGTTAACAATGACCATGTATAATTTTGTCTGAGTTCAGGGGTGTATTAAAAGATATTTTAGCCTGCTAAAAGCCAAATAACTCCCCCATCATCAGTCTTACACTATGTTCAAGGAATAATATGAGCCAGGGAAACCTAGCCTGGAACATGGACTATTTCAATGAGACCAATGGGCTGAGTTCAGAGACAAAGAAATTGCCCCGGTCAAAGACCCAAACTTGCATGTCAGGTCCTCCACAGGTCTGGGTGCCGGTTAACAAAGAGCTAATCCTGCTCAGCCAGAATTAAGTACTACACCACACTCCATAAAAGTCATCTCATTAGACTTACTAATGTAGCCAACTTCTGACACAGTCTCCACCATAAGCTACACCGTCCTGATGTGTTCTACCCCAAATGGACTGAGTGGGCTGGGTGTCATCTTAAATCTAAGGGTGCTTTATGCTCTTGTTTAAACAGACATAGTTTGGAGTATTTTGTTTCAGTCAATACTCTCCATCTGTATGACAGTCAAGCTTTAGATTTATTTAAAAGTATTTCAAATATGGAATAATGTGTATGAATTTTGACCACCTGCAGAATTTGTTAGAGTAAATTGCTGTCTGTCTTTGCTCGTGGTTAAGAAATTAGCTGCTAACTTTGTGGTGTGTAAGATGTTTACTTTTGTGTTTTGTTTCTTATTAATCATAAAAAATGTTTTTGTAGTTGCAAAACACTGGAAGCCTTCTGCCTGGACAAAGATTTCCACAAGCAGGTATACCTTTTTTAGTTGGCCTGAAAGTAAGATAAATGTATTGCTACATTTACAGATTTTGCATGTTACATAATTTTCTCATTTTGGATTGTTGTGGTAGAACCAGAGGAGACTGGGAATATTGTTGTAGCTTTATACCCATATCAAGGCATCCACCAAGATGACTTGACCTTCAAGAAGGGTGAAAAATTGAAAGTAATTGAAGAGTAAGTGATTTTCATTATTTGATAAATCTATACTATTAAGCTTTTAAACTTCTTAATTCTCCTTAATAATTACTTTCTCCAGAACTGGTGTTTACCTTTTGGGAGGGCATTGATAGAATGGCCCCCATTCACTGTTTTAATAACATTTGTGGACAATAGATAGTCCAGAATTTATGACTCTGTCCCTGCACATTGGAGTTGCCTGCTAATGAAAACCACTCATAATGTCTATGGCAAATAAATACATTTGGTAACTTATGAGCTCTTGCCCTGCAAGTCCCTGACCTAAATAAAAAGATGGTTCGTAATTCAACCCCTCAGCATGTACTAAAGTGATGCAGGGAGAACAGAGAATCATTCAAATTGCTCTGTATATTGTTTTGATACTAACATCAGAAAACACACTTGAGCCAGTCTGGGTGGAATCCGATAAAGCTGCTGGCAATTTTTGAATTGTAAGAGGAAACAAAACACAGGTAAGCTATATAATGTTAAAGTTGTGTTATATACACTATACTGCCAAAAGTATTGGGATGCCTGCCTTTACACACCCATGAACTTTAATTCTTAATCCATAGGGTTCAATATTGAGTTGGCCCACCCTTTGCAGTTATAACAGCTTCAACTCTTCTGGGAAGGCTGTCCACAAGGTTTAGGAGAGTGTCTATGGGAATGTTTGATCATTTTTCCAGATATGTATTTGTGAATTCAGGCACGGATGTCGAACAAGAAGGTCTGGCTCACAGTCTCTGCTCTAATTCATCCCAAAGGTGTTCTATTGGTTTGAGGTCAGGACTCTGTGCAGGTCAGTCAAGTTCCTCCACCCAAAACTCACTCATCCATGTCTTTATGGACCTTGCTTAGTGCATTGGTGTGCAGTCATGTTGGAACAGGAAGGGGCAATCCCCAAACTGTTCCCACAAAGTTGGGAGCATGAAATTGTCCAAAATGTCTTGGTATGCTGACGCCTTAAGAGTTCCCTTCACTGGAACTAAGGGGCCAAGCCCAACCCCTGAAAAACAACCCCACACCATAATCCCCCCACCAAACTTTACACATGGCCCAATGTAAACAAATACTGTTCTCATGGCAACTGCCAAACCCAGGCACAGCCATTGGATTGCCAGAAAGAGAAGCGTCACTTCAAAGAACATATCTCCACTGCTCTAGAGTCCAGTGCCGGTGTGCTTTACACCACTGCATCCGACGCATTGCACTTGGTGAGGTAAGGCTTGGATGCAGCTGCTTGGCCATGGAGACCCATTCCATGAAGCTCTCTACGCACTGTTGTTGTGCTAATCTGAAGGCCACACAAATTTTGGAGGTTTTCAGCTATTGACTCTGCAGACAGTTGGCGACTTCTGAACACTGTGCACTTCAGCATACGCGGATCCCGCTCTGTAATTTTACATGGCCTACCACTTTGTGGCCTAGTTGCTGTTGTTCCCAGTTGCTTCCGCTTTGTTATAATACCACTAACAGTTCACCGTGGAATAATTAGTAGTAAGGAAATTTCATGGATGGACGTATTGCACACGTGACAACCTATCACGGTACCACGCTTGAATTCATGGAGCTTCTGAGTGACCCAGTCTGCATGCCTAGGTGCTTGATTTTATACACCTGAGCCATGGAGGTGATTGTAACACCTGGAACCAATGATTTCAGGGGTCTCCCAATGCTTTTGGCAATTTAAGTGTATATAAGCTTTTGTTTTTTTATGGCAGTAATATACAGAAAATTAGAACTATTGGCAAAACCTTTTTTTTCTTCATGTTAGACCAGTCCTGAGAGCGACCCAATCTTTCACAAATGTGTGTAGAAGCAGTTTGCATGTCTACGTGCTTGAATTTATATATCTGTGGCCATAGAGGTGATTGGAACACCTGAATCCAATGATTTGGAGGTGTGTCCCAATACTTTTGGCAATATAGTGTATCTTAGTAATGTTTTATTGTACTGTAAGCCTTGAATTAACCATATTAACAAAGGTAGCATTGAGATGTACCTAGATGAAAAAGCAAACCCTTGGATATGCAGGCTGTCTTCCCTGTTTGCATTTCAAGGCTTCATTTGCAAGTTTTATTGGAGCATTCCTTTAATTTTAGGTTGACATGCATTAAATTGTTGAAGTGTCTAACTAGCATATTTCAACATCAGGATGTGTTGTAATTAGAAAAGTATCTTAGGCACATAATAGGATTGAAAGTATGTTAATAAAAGTCAGAATTAGATCACAAGATTGAAACTCAGAACTCATTTATCATATCTTTAAAAAATACTCAAGGGGCACTATATTGTGGAATACACACTATAGTGGCACATCTCCACCACATTTCTTCTCCTCCCTTTCATCCATGATCACCCCTTCTATGAATTGTTACAGATTCCTTTGTTTGATGCTTCATTCTTCCTTCCGTGACAAGAGTATTGATCTCCAGGCTCCTGATTGACAATTTGTATTGCCTATCCAGGAACTGGGAGAAATAGTAGTTTATCAACATAGCTGCTGAGTCACCCAGCTCTCACTGGTTTGTTAAAGTCATAGAGGCAGTGTAAATGGATAAGGCAGTAGGGGTTTTTTAATTTAATATTGCTCTATTAGTTTTTCTTTTTGTTTTATAGTGACCGATGTATCATGTAAAACTATATGTATACAACATTTTTAAATTGGGTATATTGCTGAATTGCTCTGTGATAGTGCCTTGATTTCACTGGGCAGCACAGTGGCTAAGTGGTTAGCACTTCTGCCTGGCAGTACTAGGGTCGTTGGTTTGAATCCCAACCATGGCACCACCTGCCTGGTGTTTGCATGTTCTCCATGTGCCTGCGCGGGTTTCCTCCAGGTACTCTGGTTATCTTCCACACTCCAAAGACATGCTGGTAGGTTATTTGGATCCTGCCTAAATTGGCCCTAGTATATGTATGAATGTAAGTTAGGGACCTTAGATTTTACACCCCTTGAGGGTTAGGGACTTATGTGACTGTACAATACATATGTAAAGTGCTGCATAAATTGAAATAAATAAATAAAAGTAATCTGAGTCTTTCCTACAGGCATGGAGAGTGGTGGAAAGCAAAGTCCTTGACCACAAAGAAAGAAGGATTTATCCCAAGCAACTATGTAGCCAAAATTAATACACTAGAGACAGAAGAGTAAGTTCCAATGTATACTTAGGTGATCTATTACGCAGGTAGCTAAAGTCATTGGTACTAAATCTACTATTCATTTTTCAGATGGTTTTTCAAGGACATTACAAGAAAGGATGCAGAAAGGCAGCTGCTGGCTCCTGGAAATAATGCTGGTGCTTTCCTGATCAGAGAGAGTGAAACTCAGAAAGGTTTAACCTTTTCATTTCTCCATCACTCATCTTTTAGTTTTTATTAGTCCTAGTTAATTAATTACCAGCCAGGGTAAAAAACAGGCAGACTGAAGATATTTTACAGCCTATTACATAGGATATGTAATATACCAGGAAAAATGCCAGTTTTTAATAATATAGTAATAAACACACTCAGTTTGGTATTGGTTTTAATTGTAGCAGACACCCCACCTGTCTTTATCTCAGGGGAGCTTATCTTCCTAATGGGTTTCAGGTCTTTTGGATTTGGCTTAATTTTGCCTTTGTTGCCTGTCATTTATAGCTTACGTATAAAGCAGTAACTGTCAGTGGCTAGAGATAGTAGTTAGAAATAGAGGCTCATGGCTTTACTATTGACTAGAAGGGCCTATTTATCCCTTTGCATTTTATCATATGCCAATGAATGTACACAGGGTAGTCAGGATTTTAATTGGTGCTAATCCACATCTATAAGTAATATTTTGACCTGCACTGTCTATTTGTTGATGCATTAACATACACTATGCATCAGAAATTCATAATTGCTGTTAACACACATAAAAGCTCATGAAATGCACATTATTATTATTATTATTATTATACAGTATTTATATAGCGCCAAAGGATTTGCTCAGCGCTGTACAATAGCGGGGGGGACAGAACATGAGACAAAACAGTAACAATACAATACACAAGGGGTTCGAGGGCCCTGCTCTTCCGAGCTTACATGGAGCAGCATGAATCCAGCCTTCACAAAAAGTTAATATTCACATATCAGTAACAGTCCTGCTTGCAGTCCTGTGCTGATGGCACATTTTAGGGAAAGAAGGAATGTGTCTGAAATAGCTCATTGAATGGATTATGAAGATACAGGCATATTTACTTGCTTTTGGAATGGATACTTGATAAATTTATGTTGCACACTTGATTTTTTTTTAACAATATGTACTTGTTAGAGAATTCTGACAAAATGCTATATGAAGCTTAGCCAAAGTATATCAGCCACAAATTTAAGTCAGATAAATTTTCCAAACCACTTGGCCAATGACTTACCACTAATTTTTGTTGCAACCATTTATTTTCACTGCACACGTGTTCATTGTCAAAATTGATGACTTTATCTCATAATTTCTAGCTTATACTACTAGTTTGGCCTGATATACTGTAAGTCGTAGGTTAATGGAGCCAAACTATAGGGAATTTACCTAAAGGAAACCTGTAAACAATTGGTCTCAGCCAGTAAGATTCTGCACTTTACATGTTGTTAGTGCCATTTATTCATGTATTTTTGTAGCTCATTACATTTATTTTTCTTTTTTTCTCCATTTGCAGGCAGCTACTCATTATCAATAAGAGATTTTGATCCGAAAACTGGCGATGTCATTAAACACTACAAAATCAGAACTCTTGACAATGGTGGCTTTTATATATCTCCTAGAATTACTTTCCCATGTGTTAGTGACATGATCCAACATTATCAGAGTAAGTAGCCTCTACTAGGATTGAATTTGTGTTGATACATGATGTGTGAATCACTACAATAAAAATACAGTTTTATAATAGTAGAAAGTGTAGCTGGAAGACCGTAGACCAGTGTTTCTTCACCTTTTTCATTCACGGCACACTTTGAGAATATACTAAATCTTAAGGTACTCCAGTCTAAAATGGGGTCCCTTATTAAATCAGAAACTTCCTACCCTTCACATCAGAGTCCTCATAACACCACAACCTATTCACATCAGGGTCCTCAGTCCACCCCTTCTTTCTTTCACATCAGAGTCCTCAGTCTACCCCCCTTCCACTTTCTGCATCAGAGTCCTAAGATACTCCCTGCTTTTCACAAGAGAGTCCAACCTCCCAATCTTCACCACAGCATGGCAGTGGACAGGAGTCAGAGCAAGATAAATTGTGGCAGATTTATATCCCGTTCTGAACGCTGGGGCTGCTTTGAATGCCACCCATGCTTTCCATGCTGCTGACGGCCAGCCATCCTGCACCGTAGAAATGAGAAAATGCCAGATGCAGCACAACATCCCTGATGAGCCAAGATGGCACAAGAGAGTGGCTTGGCACCTTGGTTGAGAAATTCTGCACTAGACTTTCAAACCTGACATATTATGCAGCACAAGTGTTTATGTGTATATAAAGGTATTTGTTGCATATATTAGTGTATGTGTGTCTACATGTGTTTCTGTTAACATGCAAAGGTTTCACGGTTTAAGTCAACAAAGCATTATGTTAATGAATTACTTTCATCTTAGTTGGCAACTGTAATTTTTTTTATCATTTACTAGCTTCTTATAAAGTAACAAAGACTTCTATTAAATTCTTATCTGGCTCAAATCCTTGTTTCTATTTATTTAAGCCATTCATCCATGAACATGGCTTGTTTGTTTTTATTGTAAATTATAATGAATCTCTTTAAACTCCAGCTACAAAGTCTTCATTAGTCATTTACAATTATGAAACAAAACCAAATATCTACGCTAAGTAATCTAGCTAATCTTTTGCCCCTTGCTCTGTGGTGACCCCAACAGGTCAAATGACATAATTTCATTAAAAGGGTACTTTTTTACATATTGTTTTCAATGTTACACTTATTCTTGGTTTATATTTTTCATTTTTAATAGAACAAGCAGATGGGCTATGTAGGAAACTTGAAAAACCATGCTATACTCCCAAGCCACAGAAACCTTGGGACAAAGATGCCTGGGAAATTCCAAGAGAGTCAATCAAGCTGGTGAAGAAACTTGGAGCTGGCCAATTTGGTGAAGTCTGGATGGGTGAGCACGTAGACAAATTATTTTTCTTGCATCCAAGAGTGATGACTATTGTGGGTCTTTGGCAGCTTCTCTCAAATAAGGGGTTTCCACAGTTGGCTATGCAGATCAACACAGCTGCACCAAAGTGCTATGAATGAGCCATTAATGGCAGCAGAAGGACAAGGTGAAGTCCAACACATGATGGGGGCTTTGTAGGTGTGACTACAACAGCCTACGTGTTTATATCATGTATTTAATACACATTCTGCTATAGTGTATAATATAGTATTCCCCTGCTGAAATCACCTGCCAATGAAGTAATAAATACAATATTCATTATCTTGTCTAGTTAAACGTGCATGGACAAAGCACAGGTTTACTTTAAAATAGAAATAAAGTTCCACATTTGTAAACTGTTTGCATTCTTTCTTGAATTTCCTGGTGAGCTCTTTATTTAGCATCCTACTATGAACTGCTGTTACAATGTGGACACAATGACCTCTGCAATTGTGAATACAAGTATTCATTACTATAAAAAGGCTTCTTCCCTTTGTATAAGATTGTTAATGATAATGTACAACTTGTAAAAACAATTGAACATAATATAACAGAAAAAGGGTGGATTTATGAATGGATATTTAAATGTTTAAGCTGGCATGTATTCCCACAGCTAACATGAGATAGTTTTAGAATGTAAAAGGCCAGTGTCTGCCTCTCCTACATTCGCAGCTCAGGAAATGACATGGACAGTTTTTGCAACAGCTAGAAGCATGAGTTTCAAGATGTTTCCTCTTGTTGATGTTATAAAGCTTGATGTTCAATTTGAGAGATTAGTCTGTCCAAATGAATGTAGAATTTGGGGATAATGATGCCATATGTGGATTTTATTGTGTTTCCTCTCGTATGTCAACAGCCAATTATTGTATTTTTTTAGGAAGCATTTTGTAGTTATGGTAACATATTAGCAGTGTGTTATGGAAACAAGTCATTGTACAAATACATATATATTGCATTTTTTTTGTCTGTTTGGATTTTCCAATGCTTTATTGTCAAAGACAAGATCATATAAATGCTAGATCTACCTTTTGGTGCTCAGCACGGACATGACAATAAATGGTATTAGGTAGACAATGACTCAAGAATTTTACTTGTGCAAAGAGGTTATAAATGCTAAACTGTGCCTGTATTATCAAATATTTCACATCCTGCATCGGATAAGATCAGGTTCCTACGGTCATGCGTAACAGCAACAGAAATAGCACACAAAATTCAAAATAATATGTTTACCTTATTAAAAAGTATATTAATTTGCTTAGTGTTACTAAAGTCTAATTTTTAAAAAAATAAAATAACAAACTTGTTAAACTCACCTGCTCTGTGCAATGGTGTTGCACAGAGAGGCCCTGATCCTCTTCTTCTCGGGTCCCTCGTCGGCGATCTTGGTTTCTCTTCTTCATGTGTCCCCATAGCAAGCTGTTTTCTATGGGGACACACGGTGTCTGCCACACTCCATAGACACACACAGTAGGACTTTGCTCCGCCCCCACTTCCTTTTTCACAGCATTGATTGACAGCAGCTGTTCGAGTGCCTGTGTGAAGAGGAAGAGAGAGAGGAAGAGATCCAGAGCACAGCACTGGATCTCTTCTCCCCCCTTTTCCCCTTCACACAGAGAATCTGAAAATGCTTTTTTACCTTATTGCAAGGAATGTATTAAAGTGGAGTTCAAGCCAATTTAAAAAAAAAAAAAGTCAGCAGCTACAAAAACTGAAGCTGCTGACTTTTAAACTACAGACACTTACATGTCCCTCGGTCCAGCGGTGTCCTCACCATGGCTAGTTTCACCAGCCATATTCTCTCCCCAGCGCTGGCATCTTCAGTGTGGGCACACGGCTATGACACCTTGCGGTTTTACAGCCGGGTGCCTACTGTGCATGCGCGAGAAGCACTGCGCTTTGTGAATGGTCCCGTAGTCTTCTGGGATCTGTAATGTGTCCCAGAAGACTACGGGGAGGGAGGGGGAGAACAACTTCCACTTCCGATCGCCTTAAATGATCGCAGCAGAAGTGGGAGCGGGTACCTGTCAAATTCAGGTACCCGCTCCCCAAAGGTGTAAATCCTTAACGTGGAGTGGGGGACATTGCATTAAAGCGCAACTTCCCCTTTTGAGTGAAGCTCCGCTTTAAGGTTAAAAAACATTTTTAGGTTTAGTATCACTTTAAGCCAAAAAATTGTTTAAACCAATATACTGCATATCCAGTTGTGCTCAAAAGCTTACATACCCTAGCAAAAATCATAAAACTTTGGCATTGATATTGAAAATATGACTGATCATGACAAAAAAACTGTCTTTTATTTAAGGATAGTGATCATATGAAGCCATGTATTATTGCATAGTTGTTTGGCTCCTTTTTAAATTATAATGACAACAGAAATCACCCAAAAGGCCCTGATCAAAAGTGTACATACCCTGGAATGTTTGATCTTGGTACAGACACACAATTTACAGGTTGTTTCCCTCTTCTGTGGCTTTTTAAAATTGCAATTTGTGTCTGTGTATAAATAGTCAATGAGTTTGTTAGCTCCCACATAGATACACTGAACAGGCTAGATACTGAGCCATGGGGAGCAGAAAAGAACTGTCAAAAAATTGCATAGCAAGGTAATGGAACTTTATAAAGACAGAAAAGTATATAAAAAGATATCCAAAGCCTCTAATATGCCAGTCAGTACTGTTCAATCACTTGCAAAGTAGTGTCCTCTACTATTTCAGGTCCCCCTGGGTTACATGACATGTAGACAGGTAACAGAAGATACTTGAGGTCAAAACATAGGTTGCAGTACAATAGATTTTATCCCTGGAAAAATGTAAAATAAAAAAGAGTTTGAGATATGTTTTTTTTTACATTGAGAAATAATATATCTATGACATGGTATTCAAACTACAGTATACAACACAAAGACCTTAATGAACGATTTCTGAGACTTTATGTAAAGTCTTAAATTATTGGAAATTCTTTCAGCTGAAGACAACCAAATCCTGGAATACAAGTATCACTATACTTCCCAATGCAGTTCCCAAATGAGAAATATGCATTTCTGCTACTAGGGGACACTGTAATTATTATTATTATTATACAGGATTTATATAGCGCCAACTGTTTGCGCAGCACTTTACAATATAGGGAGACAATACAATTACAATACATTTCAGTACAGAAGGAATAGCAGGGCCCTGCTCGTGAAGCTTACAATCTAAAGGAAGTGGGAGGTGATACAAAAGGTGATAGCTGTGGGGGATGATCTGGTGGAGGTGATTCAAGTACAGTTCTTAGGTGGAGGTGGGGTAGGCTTCCCTGAAGAAGTGAGTTTTCAAAGATCGCCTAAAGGCAGACAGGGTGGGGGCTGATAATAAAGATATATATCTTCTATAGACCTTGTCGGGTGATTCATTTAGATATTTAAGCCTAATTATACACTCAACGGCCACTTTTTTAGGTAATGGAAAAGCTCCAGTTTAGTTCCCCTGAGGGTTCTATTTTGTACCTCCTATAGTTGGGTGATTGTTACGATACAGCAGATGTTAGTTTTTGTCCTCCTCCCATGCCTTAATTGACAGTTAAATGGGTAAATTTGACAAATTAGTTTATCTTTATAACCTTTAATTGATTATTTAATGTCCTCCGCCATCACTGCATAATGGTAACCTGTAGTCTGGATAGTAAACTGTTTTTCTTTTCCTCCTCTCAGTAAAATAGTGAGACCAGCATCTAGAGTTTGGAAATATTTCAATAGTGCAATTTCTGTTGAGAGCAATTTGCAAATATTGAGAAGAAATATTTTTTTCCAAATGCTACAAGGAAGGCAAAACACACAACATTTAAAATACTTTATAGAATGAAATGATGAGGACCACTATGAAAGTCCAAGGAGCTTTTCCTTCCTGAGTTTCTCATTCCAGAAACACTCTTTCTGCTGCTTCTGAATCATCACAAATTTTAAAAAGCAAGTTTATTTACTGAATACTTTGTAGTTTTATTTCAAGCATAATAGTGTTATATACCTTGCATTTAACATTCCAAGTTTATAAAAATTAATTTTAGTTTGTAAAACTGCTAGGCACTGAATTTTTTTTTCACTTTTTTCAAAAATGTCCATTTTTCCAGAACAAAAATCAAAGAAAAAACATTTTCCCCATGGCTTCAAAATTTTGTAAAATTTTATAAATCTCTGGGGAAGGCATATACTTTCCTTTTCACTTCCTTCATTGCAAAGCTGAAGGTGGTGCTGAATTTGATCACTTAATGTGCACTGTATAGGCTGCTGTAATGAACAAAAGATAATGGCATGCACTCATGGCCTAACTCATTGAATGAATTCTGAATTAAAGTGTGTTGCTTTAACCACTTCCCGACCGGCCTTTGTATATAAACGGCCGGACGGTGGCACTGCAGGGTCGGGTGGCCATTTATAAACGGCCTCCCCGCACCCTGCTTGTGCACGCTCCCCGGGAGCGCGCAGCAGCACCGCGATCCAGTGCCCACTGTTTCCACCGGACACAGTGAAACACCGATCGTCGGACGGGACCTCTGTACGAGATCCCGATCATGTAATCACTGATTGGCCAATCAGTGATCACATGCAAAGTAGTAAGCAAGATGTCACTTCTGACATCATTGCTTACTATGTGTGAAATCTGTGAATGATCACAGAGATCACATGGTACAAGGCTATTCACAACAGCCTTGCACCATGTGACAAACTGTGACCAATCACAGCTCACTCAGTAGTTCTCAATGGCTGCAAGAATGCAGACAGAGAGAAATAGAAATGATTGCTTTTACATCCTATATGGGTGTAAAATTAATCACTGTACTGCTAGGGTGACAGTATGTAAAAAAAAAAAAAAATAATAATAATAATATAAAAAAAAAATAAAAATTAAAAAAAAAATGTTTAAAAATTATAATTTTTGGTTATAAACTAATTTGGCTTACTTTTTTTTGTACTAAAAAGATAACGGAATAAATTTTGCCCAAGATTTATGATGAAATATTATTTATTTGCAAAATCTTGTAAGAAAAACTCTTTTTTTCAACATTTTTGGACATTTTCATTTACATAGCAAAAAAAATTAAAATTCCAGCGGTGAATAAATACCACCAAAATAAAGTTTTATCTGTCTCAAAAAAAATGGTAAAAAATTCATATGGGTACAGTGTTGCATGACCGCGCAATTGTCATTCAAAGTGTGATAGCGCTGAAAGCTTAAAATTGCCCTGGTCAGGAAGGGGGTAAAAGTGCACGGACTGGAAGTGGTTAAATCTTAAGTAATTACTTTTTGTTAATTCATTCACATAAAACCTTTATGTGACATTTTACTAATCATTCATTTCAGGTTTCTATAACAATAATACAAAGATAGCAGTGAAAACGTTGAAAGCTGGAACCATGTCAGTGGAAGCTTTTATGCAGGAGGCAAATCTAATGAAGACTCTGCAGCATGATAAACTGGTCAGACTTTATGCGGTGGTCACAAAGCAGGAACCCATTTATATCATCACAGAATTCATGGCCAAAGGTGAGTCTAGCATCCACATGTGCATAATGTAAATGATAAGTTCACTTTTTAAAAAAATAATAAATTCCCATTTTTTTGCATTTTTAAAGCCTGTTGGAGCATGGAAAGCATTAATCTGCTGATCACTGGTGCCATGCAGGATTACTGAAACTGTCAGTGTATCTCCTTGCCTGTACATCCCGTACGGGCAAAGCAGATACAGTCTGACAAGAAGACTCAATTAACTATCACAGCGCTCAACATGTAGCATGTTCCCAAAGATGAACTTATTCTTTAAAGTATGTATATATAAATTGATGTCCTCAAAAGTCAGCACTAATGTCTTAATAATTACTTAGAAGCATACAAAAAGATGATACATAGTCCTCATACAACAAATTATGAAGGATGTGGCACTAAAAAAATAACATAACACCACTTTGCAGATAGAAACAAATTATGATTTTCACCTATAATGGAAAAGGATAAATTATTAGAATTTTAGACCACCAATTTAACAGAGATCAGTAAGCACTTACTCAATGTTCTTTGATGCCACTGGAGCTGGTGAAGTTCTCCATCCACGCTGATTGCTCAGATTTCCAGGTAAGTATTTTCAACCATGGAACCATGCAAGGATGCGGGGAAAGTACATAAGTTGCCATCTGTCTGCACAGAGTCAATAGCTAAAGACCTCCAAACTTCATGTGGCCTTCAGATTAGCACAACAACAGTGCGTAGAGAGCTTCATGGAATGGGTCTCCATGGTCAAGCAGCTGCATCCAAGCCTTTTATCACCAAATGCAATGTAAAGCGTCGGATGCAGTGGTGTAAAGCAGAGCACAACTGGACTCTAGAGCAGTGAAGACGTGTTCTCTGGGGTGATGAATCACGCATCTCTGTCTGGCAATCTGATGGACGTGTCTGGGTTTGGTGGATGCCAGGAGAATGGTACTTGCCTGACTGAATTGTGCCAAGTGTAAAGTTTCTGAAGGAGGGATTATAATGTGGGGTTGTTTTTTCAGGGGTTGGGCTTGGCCCCATAGTTCCAGTGAAGGGAACTCTTAAGGCGTCAGCATACCAAGACATTTTGGACACTTTCATGCTCCCAACTTTGTGGGAACAGTTTGGGGATGGACCCTTCTTGTTCCAACATGACCATAAACACATGGTTCAGTGAGTTTGTGCAGACCAGTCAACTTCCTCCACCCCAGAGTCCTGACCTCAACCCGAAAGAACACCTTTGGGATGAGTTAGAGTAGAGACTGTGAGCCAGGCCTTCTTGTCCGACATCAGTGCCTGACCTCACAAATGCACTTCTGGAAGAATGGTCAAACATTCCCATAGACACACTCCTAAACCTTGTGGACAGCCTTCCCAGAAGAGGTGAAGCTGTTAGAGCTGCTCAATATTGAATCCTACGGACTAAGACTGGGATGTCATTAAAGTTTTTGTGCATGTAAAGGCAGGCCTCCCAATACTTTTGGCAATATAGTGTACTTTCTGCTTTACAGATACATCCTTTATGAGGATATTTAGCTTAGCAACAGGGTTGTTTAAATTATACATTGTTACAAAACCCATGCATACTTATGTTTCTAATAATTGTTTCCATATTTAGGTATATTTACACTCTCTTGTTTAATAGGGAGCCTACTAGATTTTATGAAGAGCGAAGAAGGTACCAGAGTTATCCTTCCCAAGCTGATTGACTTTTCTGCTCAGGTAAAAGACGCAGCTTAATTTAATGCAAGTACTCAGTGGGGTCTATGTGTTTTAACTTCATGGGTGCGATTCGTACCCATAAGACTGATTTATAGAGGGCAGAAGAAAGGATAGAAATGTTGGTTTAGGTTTATGTCAACCGTCATTTTTTTTTATTTACTAACAACACAAAGAAAATAACTAACAACAGAGACACTTCTCATGTTTTCAGTTATTAAAAACTAACCACATTCTTATACAATTAATTTTTGTTATTATTCATACTAAAGTAAATCGCAAGGCATGCTCTATTTAGAATTGGTGGAAGTATATTGGTGCTTTGCTGTGATTTGATATGTAGAAATATTTAATGCAACTCTGTTACAATAGAATGTCAGAGTGTTGCACAGCAGAAACTGCTTTTACTTTATACATATGGGCTGCCATTGCCAAGTACTCCATAGTAGAAAGTTATTTTTTTGGCAAATTTTGTTAAAATCTCAGACACCTTTACAAAAAGCTACTTGGAATCTGCGTGTAGTCATAATTCTTGACACTGCATAGATTTTGTAAACTGGAAACTGTAGTGGTTTAATTTACTTTTGTAGCACTACCCCCGTCGGAGTTGCTGACCTTTGGGTCCCCCTATAGTCCTGCACAGCCAAGCAACACGCATTTTCCATTCAGACTTGTATCCAGCAGACAGTAACCAGTCATTGAGCTTGTTTTTTGGGTTTTATTAGGGGAATTAGAACTTGAATAGGGTAAAGGGTGTATGGGATGCCCAAGGGTAATGGCAACAGAGGACAATCTTCCTGAACTATGTACAATTCTCTATTAGCAGCAAAAGAACATATCCTACTTCTTGGAGAGCCAGCCAGCATCTCCTGTAGTACCACTTCAGACCCTAGATACTCCTTATCCAGCTGTTCCGGGTGAATCCCTGGGCAGAGGATCCAGTGCCTGTCACTTTAAGAGAAGACAGTCCAGGGTAGTAGCTAATCCAGTTTCCCACTATAGTGCTCCTTCAACTTATTGGCCCAGGGGGTGCAGGCCTACTCACTCAGTCCTACTCCTATGTTGCTGGGTCAGTGGCTACTCTCAGGCCTTCTGCTGGGCCACTCCTTCCTTGCTGCCAAGGTGGTCCTCGCTCTGGGGGCCAGTGAATTCCAGAGCTTTCCTCCTTTCAAGCTTCCCTGCTGTAGGTGAATCCCTTCCCATCTGGGATCCCTCCCAGGCTCCTGCTCGCCAGCCTCACTTCTCCAGCTTCCACCCAAATTCTCCTGCTGCTGAGAAGACTCAAACACTCTTAAGGGCTGTCCTGGTCCCATACCATGCCTCCTCTTGGGGTTGGCCAAGATCCCTTCATACTGCAGACCAGCCACTCCTCACCTCCACCCCTTGCTTCTAAAACTTTCTCCAAAGTTCTAGTGCAGAGGGAAGTCTCAGAAAGCTGGTCTGCAGAGCCTCTCAGCCCCTGACCAAAAACTGACCCCCTGACTATTACACACACACTACTGCTCAGCCCTTCTAACTGAGAATTAGAATCTAGCTCCCCTAGCTACCTAGGAGGGTGCTACACTTGTTAGTAAGTTAAGTTTTTCACTGATAATTTTGGCAGAGGGGATGAGTCATTCAACTGTGTGTAAACTTGAGGTTTATCTACTGAACTCTGTACACAACAGACTTTTTATCATTACTTTTTATTTTTATTTGACTATCTTGCTTCTTATACAGATCGTAATTGATCCATCTAGTGGACATCTCTTTATTAGAGATGTACTGTATATGTTAAAGTGCATGTAAACCCTAACAATGACTTTCTATTGGATAAGCACAAAAAATACTTGCTAACTGCCAGAAACCTTGTGAAGCAATACCTTCTTCTAGTGCAGGGGTCTCCAAACTTTCTAAAGAAAGGGCCAGTTTATTGTCCTTCAGGGGGCCAGACTGTGCCCAGTGGAAGTTAACAATGCCCAATCCTTGGTATTAGGGCGAGAAATGTCAGTGGAAGAAATAGTGCCCCATTGTTGATGTCAGTGGCAGGAATTTTGTCCATTATTGGTGTCAGTGACTGGCCATAGGGCTGCAATTTGGAGACCACTGTTCTAGTACACTGAAATCTCAAACATTATCATGAGACCTGTATGAGTTCTCTCTGTAGACTATAGAACACCATTCCCCTATGTTATAGAGATAAGGAGATGGTGGGGGTATTCTGTAGTACTAACACACTTCCCATCCTAGGATGACAATGCTGCTTCTCCATACCCACATGGAAAAAATATATTTAAAAAATATTCTTCCCAAATATATTGACATATATTTGAAATACTACAATTGTGTCCGTATTCAATATATTTCAATATATACATATATATATATCGTATGTTGAGATGCGTTTTTATTATAAAATATATAAAAAAATATTTTTAAAAATACATTTTCAAATATACTGTATGTCTTTAAAAATACATTGAATCTACATTTTTGGAATGCATTTACTAATATATGGTAAAATGACTTTTTTTATATCTTAAAAAAAATCTGAAGAATATATTTAAAAAATATATTTTTAAAAATATTTTTCATATATTTTGTAATATATAAAATACACATTTCAACATGCAGTGTATATATGTAAATATATTGAATACGGCCAAAATTGTGTTTCAAATATATGTCAATATATTTGGGAAGAATATTTTTAAGATGTTTCAAATATATTTTTTTTCCATGTGGGTACATACGGTACAGTAAGTAACAGTTCTCACTGTAGGACATGAAATGTGTTGTTGGCACAATCACCAAGTGAAAATAAAGGGAAAAAAGCCTGAAGGAAAGAGAAATGAATGCAGCCACCACATCTAAGGACTGGTAAGCTGCAATATATAAAATTATTGTTTGTGGGTTTAAATACACTTTCAGCATCCGATAGCTGGTGAGATAAGCTCAGTTATATAAATATTTTGTTTTAATCTGTCAAGTGTCTATCAAGTCATACACTTACACAGAGAGAGAAGATCAGTAAGGCACTGTCATTAAGGAGTACTTCTAAGCAAGAAGGAGATCTTATGTATATAGTGAGCAAATATTGAAACCTCCAAGTGGGCAGAGATAGATAGATAAATAACGCTCCTTTTAAAAGAGAATAATCCAACCTTGTGCATTCAACACAGCCTACATGCTCAAGGTTTCAGCTTTTATTCCAGACGCAGCTGGTACTGTGCTTAAATTGCCTTTTGTTGAGAATATGGGAACTCATTTGCTTATCTTTTTGTAATGCAGAAGTAGTCATTCCAAAAATACCGGCTACTGCTTCTCATATACAGAAAGCCTGATGATTTAAAGTGCCAGTACTAAGAAGTTTGACACAGCCACCAATCACATTAAAACCAGCCTTGGAATCGGATTTGTCATGCTGCATTATAATTAACAGCAAGTTACTCCATGCACACTTATCTGTGCTTCTCACTTATGTGTACAGACAGGAGCTATCTATATCACATGGGGTCTTTTTCATGTAACATTTAAAGCTGAATTCCAGGAATTCAGCCAATTTCTATTATCTGCTGGCTTACTATGGGTTAAGTCCAACGAGGTACATATCGCTCCTCTTTAATTTATATCTGACAGTTTTCCTGCATGCCAGGAGTGCAGCTATAGCTGCACTCCCAGAGCTCTGACAAGAGAGACAATGCCTTCTTATACACAGGATCTCTGCCTGCACCTTCCCCCTGCTGCCTATTCAAAGAAGGCTTTGTGTTTTGTGAATAGGTTTGCATAATACAAAAGGTGATTGTTAGAAAGAGGGGAGGGAAAGGAAGAGTGGCTGCATATGAAGCTGCAGGAGCTGAAACCAGAAGGTCTAGCACTGGAGTGCCAGACATATAGCAATAGATATGCTCCCCGCACTCAGCAAAAATAAAAATTGTAAATCAAAGAGGTTAGTCCAATGAGGTGGTATGTACCTTCATGGACTTAACTCCAAGTAATCCAGAGCATTTTAAAAAGTGGCTGGAGTTCAGCTTTAAATTCCTAATTGTATTGTTGATTGAAGACAAATGATTCTTAAATAATTGTTAGGTACTTCCATAAACATATGTCTCTGTCGGGGGACACATTAAGTGCTGCACAGCCATCTCCATTCCCCACACAATGGACTTCCATCACTTTCCCAGCCCTAGGAAACTCCTAGGCATGGGGAATTTTAGTGCGTGGAAGTTGCTGATTGATACTGAGCAACATCTTTAGTAGGTTCCCTGCCTGACACCAGAGCTGTGGAGCACAGACTCAAGAGACCTTAAGCTGCTGGCTGTACTTAGAGAAGTGTTGCCACTTATTTTACTGCTGCAGTGCTTGAGTCAGTGACATCAGATTCACACAACAAGCTGTAGCAATGATAGAAGTTCCATGGGTGGACAAACACACAAAGAGCAAAGGATGACAGGCTGGAGCTTTAGAAAATTGAGGAGCTGTGGGGGAGCACTGCCAGTACCCCCTCATAAAGCCTGCCTGCCACTCACCTCACCAGTTGCCACCTCCATAGAGAACCCCCAACACCCACCTTACACAGCCACCCAGCTAACACCCTCCTCACTCCTTAAAAAGCCTTCCTACCTCACCCTTCCAACACCCACCTTACCCCTTCTTACTGAGGCTCCCTGCCATCAACTGAGGCTCCCTGCCACCCCACAACACCTACCTTTATGGGAGAACCTGTTGTGCCTGATAAAATTGTTGGAATCTCTGAGAAAAAAAAAGCCAAAGGCAAATTCAGACCATCTGCAGCTGCTCGTATTTAAAATGCTAGCTTTGGGTGGTATGAATCTTTAAATATGAACTACAGGAAAACTGTGAAATAAACCAATGGAATAACTATATGGGATTTGTTTTACCTGCCCAAGCATTTGTATTTCTTCTATATAGTCCTGTGACTTACACAGCTCTGCAGCACAGACCTGTCAGGCTGGGCCTAATTTTTCTCTGCTGCAGTTCACTAACACTTACAGGTCCTGTGT